GGACAAAAATTGCGTATGCATGTGTATATATAGTTCATAGCAATCTTTGAAATATGTGTTCCTTGTGGAGTGAACTGGCTAACTCAAGCTGACTAGTGTATCTATTACCTTATACTAGTATCTATCTGTGGTCAGAACCCTTAGTGTCCACTCTCAAGTATACCAAACATTAACGTAGTCAGCTTGTGTCCTCTGACCACTATCATCCAAACCCACGATTCCCATTCCTGTGGCTACATTGTTTGTCTTACTGTGGAATGTTCCTTGGAATTTCCTTGTCTAAAACGTGCTTTTGAATCAGCTCCCTTTAAAAGAGTCACCAAACAGTGATCTACCGGAAGATGCCACCAGAGGGTGCCACATCACTTAAGGAGGCATCACTGAGTCTCCCAGTGGATTCACAAAGTATATATATATATATATATATTTTAATCAGAGTATCAGTACCAGGTCCAGGCTGGAGAAAAAGAAGTCCAGTGGATCTTAACTGACACCCCACAGATATCTGTGTAAACAGCCTTTCATGTTCTCTTTGGACTTTAATCATTCCACTTTTTAGTTTGTGTGTTTATACTTAGTTTTGTGTGTTTAAGTCCGTTGGGAATGCCCAATTTAGAATACTTAACAGATTTGAAACCCCTGGCTTGCTCTGAAAGTGGCCATAGACACATGTTCATTTGCTAACAAGTCTGGGAAGCTTTTCAGTCTCTCTACAGACAAATGGTCCCTATTGGAAGTTTCTACTTTCATATTGGCTTTTAGTTCTTGGACAATGGCCCTTAATTCCCACCCCATAGACACACCCACAGTAGGTAGAGATGCTCTGGGGCTATTTGTAGATACTTCTATAGCTCCCCATTTCCCAGGCTATTGAGAGACAAGGCAATGGGTGAGTGTGGGTGACAGATGCATGCAAGCTGGATGGGTTCTGCCCCTCCGGAGCTTGGCCACAGCCTGGCTGTCACTGAGGCCCTCTGAGTGACAGTATAGAGGCTACAGCTGAGCTCAGGGATGGCTGCAGCTGCAGGGTCCTGCTCCAGCCCTTGTCCTGAGGGGCTGTGTGGGTGTGCAGAACAGCAAGGTGGAGGCAGGGAGCCCTCACCCTGCCTCTTCTCTCAGAGTGCACTATTGAGCAAAGCATGGAGGCCAGAAGATCTGTCTGTCCAGTTTGTGGGCGGTGTGTGACATAGTCATAACAAAGTCTGTGTGTTATTTTCTTCATTCTTCCAGATAATCCTTTGAGGTAGGCAGAGTGGTGTGTGTGTGTATGTGTGTGTGTGTGTCCCCGTCCGTCCGTCCTTGCCCAATGCAGAAGTGCTTGGAGGCCAGAGGTTGACATCAGATGTTTTCCTTAATCACCGTTCTACCTTACTTTTGAGACAGGGTCTATACACCGAATTTGGAGCTCATCCCTCTCTTCCCTTCCCCCTTTTCTGTTCTGCTGTCTGTTCAGCTACCCCTGGGATCTACAGCTCTCTCTGCCTCCTCGCACTGGGGTTACAGGAGCATACCACCATGCCTGGCTTTTTAGGTGGGTGCCAGAGATCTGAACTCAGTCCTCAGACCTGTGCAGCAAGCACCTCACTTACTAAGCTCTCTCTCCTGACTCTGGTTTCTGTTTCTGTTCCAGTTTTAGAAACGAATAGCACAAGTGCATGATATCCAAGGTTCCTTTTTGAATGGGAGGCTCCTCCTGGTCTAGGAAGAGGCTCTTCCTAAATGGGAAAAGCCAGGTGATAGGACAATTCGGGTGGCTGGTGAGAGCTGGGCAAAGGCTTGATGATATCTACTCTTGGTGGATAGTAATACTCTGTGCCTACAGTCAGGCCATCCAGGGAGATGGTGAGGGACAGGTGATTGATTACAGGGTTGGGAGGATGTTGACCTTGACAACGAGGGTCACTGATGAATTCTGAGCAAGTCAAGGTTTTGGTCAACATTGGGGATGCTGAGAGCTGTAGTCAGCAAAGTTAGGGGTGGTAGGAGAACAAAGAGAAGTCAGAGTGAGGGTGTTACCTCATGGGCCTTCTAGCGCCCTCTAGAAGGATGCTGAGATGATGATGGTGGTGATGGAGTAGGGACACAGGTGGGGACTTCACCAGTGGGAGGACAGAAGACACAACGGCCACATATCTCTTGTAAGTAGGCTTGATACTGGCCTTTCAGGGGGACTTAGGTTGTAGGCATCGACTAGGAAGAACCCCGAGAGAACCATTGGTTGTAAAGGTTGAATTTTTGCTACTGCGGGAATACATTCTGAAGTCTTCCTAACCCAAAGGGGGCAGGATCTGTCCTTTGCTGATTTATGTTATGGATGTCTTATTTTTAAATGTTAAATCTTGGACTTAAGGCAAGTCCCTAACTCTTGGCACATGTTAAGGAACAAAGGCAGCTATTGAGGAGACTAATAAAGGAACCTCAGTCCACCGCCACCTGCGCCTCTCCCCACCCTTTCCAAGTTCAGCTACCCCAGCCCGATGCTGGAAAGACCCAGGCCATGTATGCATGGGAACTGTGTAGCAGCTTCCGAACGCAAAGGATGATGCTGGAGGCACCGTCAGATGACATAAAGGGAGACTGAGGCAATTTCTCTTTCTGGAAAATACCATCCGCAGCTCTCTTCTTTAAAACACAAATTATTTACCCGTGTGCGCGTGTGCACGCGTGTGAACACAAGTGTGCCTCAGAGCACCCACAGGGGAATCAGAGAATAACAAACAGGAGTCAATTTTTGCCCTTGAGTATAAGAGTTTTAGGGATGGCGCTCAAGTGGTCAGGTTTGGAGGTGAGCAACTTTACCAGCTGAGCCATTTTCTCACCCCTCCTGTATATACTGTTGTTTTGGGGAATGGGTGGGTGCCCAATGCAGGGTACCACACTCTCAAGTGTGTGGTACCTCAAGAGTGTGGTATCTCACTCCACCCCTCTCCCTGCCACGACTTCGACCCTAAGTTTTTTCTAATGCATATGTCCACTGAGCCCAAGGATTGTACCAACCAATTTGAGACTCACATATCTTCAGTGTCTGCCAGATTTGACCTTTGCTGGCCCCTCTCCTGCATCCATCCTAAGGCCAGGGTTTTGTGGCTGACCAATGATTTAGGTGGAAACAGCTTGTTCAGGTAAGGAGGCTCAGTTGGGCCAATTTACCATAGGAAGAGTTGAAAGGAACCTGAGAATTCCAATTAGGCTGTAACTAATGAGCTGGAAACTTTGGGGAAATCACTGTGGGCAATGAGGGGAGAGTGATCATCTTCGTTTTAATTAGCACAGGAAAAAGTTGTGGTCCAGCTGGTAGCCTGGAGAAGAAATGTCAGGAGGGAGGAAGTGTCTGTATGCATCCAAAGGGGGATTCCGGGAGAGTGGGAGACGGGGTTTGCTGAACAAACCTGGATTCCTTCCCCTTAAAGGGGAAAAAAAGGAAAACCAGAAATGTAGAAAAGCAAGCCTGAATGCAGAGTACCCAGCATCCTGTTGCTCTTCCCATGGGAATCTAAAAAGCAGGGAAGAGACCCTTTAAGGAATCCCATAGTCCATTCCATCAGGTTCCAAACCAATAGCCAGATTGCTGTTGTTCTTGTCTGCTCTCTAGAGCAGCCTGGTGCTGCTTAATAAGGAAACGGGGTGTGTGTGTTGGGGGGGGGAACAAAAACTAAAACCCAACAAAAACCCACCTGCTGCTGTCAGAGGTCACAGACCACCAACAGACTTCCAGATGGCTCTGTCAGTCACGCACACTGGGGCACCTAGGAAACGTAAGAGCGAGCTATGTCAGCAGGTGTACCCATCTTGGCTAGGGTCTTCCTCAGTCTCCAAGCCTGAGGATCATGGCAATAAACCCATGGAATCGAGTTGACAGACGGCTACTCCTCTCCTCCCGGTTAGGGGCTCCTTTGGGAAAACCGGCCTACGGGGGGAACCTGGTGGCTTCCCCCTTGGGGTACCCCGCTGAACCTAGTCGGGGGGCGCAACGCATACTAAGTCCTGCACCTGGGCTGGGGGCGCTATACGCCGTGTTCTGGAAGGTGGGGGGCCGCGTTAGCGGCCAGTTCCAAATAATGGCCTGCCGCCCCTACTCAGCCCCAAGCCGTGGCGAGTCAGCCCGGTAAGCCTCCTCCCCTCCCGCTTCGGGCGGCTTGAGCCCGCGCCCGCTCCAGTTGCTGCAGCTGCCACTGCTGGCGGCTGCGGGGAGCGCGGGGCGCGCGCCGAAGAGGCTCCGGCTGCGAGAACGGGGACGAGGAGGAGCCGGAGGAGGAGAGAAGGAAGAAGCGAGCAGAGGCCGAGGTCTTGGAGACCCGGCCAGAGGGGGTCCTGCAGAGCACCGGCTAGGGGGCAGCGGAGGCAGGGCAGCCGGCCGCAGTCAACCTGCGGCGGTCCCGGGAGCACAGGAGGCGGCGATCCAGGAGCTGAGCGCCCGGGGGAGGAAGGGTGGCGCGGGCACGCCCGGGCGGGAGGGCGAGGATTCTCCGATCCTAACGAGCTGTCGCCTCATCACCCGAGAGCGGCGCGGGGACGGGCGGGGGACCCCGGGCCCAGGCGCAGCGCACACGCGTG